CGGCCCGAGCCCCGCGACGGCCTACGGCTCCCGTGGTGCACCGCGCAGGTGCAAGGCAGCGCGGGAGTCGCAGTTCGACGGCGTCTTCGTGCTGGGCCCTGCCGCTCACACAATGCGGCGGGGGGGCGGGGCAGGCAGGGCGGCAGCCCTCAGGGCCTAATTCGCAGCGCGCACTGTCGTGGCAGGCCCCACCTCCGCTTTTTGCTGTAACTCTACTTGGAAAAGTCTTTGATTCGGGTTGGGGATGAGCAAATCCAAGGGAATAAAGAAGCTGGGAGGGATTCTCTCCAAAAAGAGAATCTAAGGGTGAGAAATGATGGATGGTCTTGGGTTTCTTTATGAATGTCAAGAAAAAAATAGGTAGTGCAAGGTTCCCTGGGTGAATCTGATGTCTTTTATTAAACCAGCTCAAATAGTTTGAGTTGGTCTAATAAAAGATACCAGATCTACCCAAAGAACCTGGTCTGCCACTGTCCTTAGACCAACATGGCTACAACCTACACCCCTGTAAGAAAAAATAGGTAATACAAGAGCAAGGCTGTTGTCGGATGGCCCAGGACTGGCAGCAGGAGCAAGGGTGTCTCGGGGTGCTATGTTTTATTGGACCCACTCCATGCTTAGGATAAATCGAGGCGCTTTCACACGCAGGACGCTGTCTGGCTCCTCGTGATCAGACCTGAGGAAGAAAGTCTTGTATGGGAAAACGTGTCTAACTTTATCCCAATGACAGGGCGGGGCCTGAGACATCCTTGCCCCCCTCTGCCCCAAAAAGGGTTGTTTTTGTTGTTTGTTTTCATTTAATCCCAAATCTGCCTGTTCTATGTTTTCAGCTTGTGCAGCCGGCACAGCCATGGGCGGATGTAGAATTTTGAAAAGGAAGGTGCAGTGATGAGGTGCATCCTCACGTAGAAAACAACACCTATTTTTCCGCACTTAAAAAAAAACAACCTAGAAGCTTTACCAATATCCTAGAGGCTGAGGGCTGCATTATTCAGTGTAGAATTGATGCAAAAAACAAACATAACATCACTGGAAGATGAGTTAAAAACCACCTGCACAGCTGAGACATAGGAGCTTTGTTACCAGGAGCAGCTAACAGACAGCGGACTTGCAGAACAAAGGCTAGCCTGATTGGTGGACTATCCAGACCATTAACAAAGTGAAATGAAAGTTAGATTATAATAAGACATGGAGTCAGTTGACCCCCTCAATACTGCCTAACTAGAAATGCTGCTGCCAGTGCCAGGCAGTTGGCTTGAAACTGGGTGGAGCAGGAATCGAAGCAGAGTGCAAGTGCACCAGTGCATTCCCCTGGATCTACCCCCAGGCACAGCCCTGGGGACCAGCCCTCAGTTTCTACCCCTGCTCTGGCACTGAGTAGTTCTGTGGCAGTGCAGCGCTCGGGTTGGGCCTGAGCCTCTGAGAGTGGTGAAGCTGGCTGAAACAACCTGGAAGAACAGTGACACTTATTAGTGATGTTTGTTAATTTGCACAAACCCAGTGCAGTCGCATAGTTAAGCAGACAGCATTAATAGCACAGGGTGCAACAGTTTATAAAATCAGTTTCATGAAGAGGAATCCCAGGTAACACAGGTAAATTTATCTAATCTGTGGGCTCAGTCCTGAAAAGCCTTTTGCTCTCTGGCCCCAGCCCAACAAAGCATTTAAGTAGGTGCTTTCAGTTATGATGTAAGTCAACCATTGGACATGTAGGATAAAGCCCTGAGGCCCTTAAAAGTGGTGTTTTGAGTGACTTCTTTCCATGAGAGAAGATTTTTGGTTTACGAATTAAACATTCAACTTTCTGTTCTCACCCAGGTCTCGGCCCCATTTTGCTTCCTTAAAATCATAGGTACAAATCACGATCGGTGCTGTGGTACACTCACAATATTTTTTTGTCTCAGTTTTCCTTGCTTGGGCACGTGGACAGTGTCAGCTACTGAGATACAGAAGTGATATAAACTGTAGGTGCAAATGACTGCTATGCAAATGTGTGCCCCACATTATTTTGCAGCTCCAAAATGTCCAGCATTTGCAAATCTTGCCATTAAGATCATTATTCTTGCCCCGTTTGAGTCACAACCTGGCTTGTTCTGTTGAAAACGAAGAGTATGCAACGGAACAGCAATAGAAGGCGGTGGGAACTCTCACACAAATCAGGGACTTCCAAGGCATCAGAACCAGTGATACAGAACGTTCATTTGGTATATTTTTATCATCTTCCTCTTTCATATTAATATCACGACTAAGCACTTTTGTTCTGACTCATAAGAGCTGTCTATCATAGTCAATGGGAGTACCCTCATGAATAAGAAGGGAAGGAAATACCAGTGGAAATGAAGTAATACAGGCTTGAACATAGGCAACCACAGATCTCAAGGGACCTTGTTGCATACTCTACTTGCCAGCCTGTACTTGTGGTTCTTCACTGGTGTTAACATTGCTAGCTAGAGTAAAGTTAACATTGGAATGCCTGCCTGCCTGCACTGCAGTCATATCTTCATTTTGCTCTATAGGCATACTCTGTGTGTGTGGGTAGCAATCAGGCTACAGGCAAAACTTAAAGTTATACCTCAAGATAAGGATACAGTGAAGGCAAATCCTGCTCCAACATCTCCAGGTATAGTGTTCCTTCTTTTGCAATGGAATAAGTGCAGCTCCACTGGGCAAAAGGTGGGGCAGAATTTGGGAAGAGCAGATCATTTGCAACCCCTGAAGTGAACACCACTCTGTTGGAGTTCCCAAGTTATTGTTATACATGGGATCCTGTGGGAAAGACAGGACAGGGATATAGAAGACTTAATGATGACAGTGCCATAGCAACTAAGTTTGGCACCCAGGGCAAAGCTCACAGCAGCAGCCTGCCCTCACCCCACACACAAATCCAGGGGGGACACCCCCCCATGCTTACCCGGGACTGCATACAGCGTTGGGAGCCGCCCTCCCCCTGTCCCCATGCCCCCCTAAACAAGCCGCTTGTGGCCCTGTCCTGCGCCCCACCCCGGCTGGGCAGCATTTGTTGGTTCCCCTGCACTTCGGTGTCTGGGACAGTCACCCCACTCGCCGCCCTCCCACCGCCATTATGGCACCTCTGCAGATCCTCCATTTTTTCCCCTCTCCTGGGTCCAGTTGGGCTGCACACTGTTCCAGCTATTAAGCACAATCAGCAGATACAAAATGGCTCTGCTACAGCTCTGAGGCCTGGGAGGCATGACTCCTTTTTTCCCTTGATACAGATCCCCAAACCACAGCTCAGTTATTCTGATCCATGCTGAGAAAGAGACATGGAGTCATATTTGTCCCAGCCTTTTCCCAGTAACTCTCGGCTCATGTAATTGAAGTAACACCAGGATAAAGCAAGCCCCTGGGTCTTAACATATGGTTTAAGTGGTGTTTGTATGTCATGTGTAGGCTCTCTGCACACAAGTGAATTTCACCTACAGTAATTAAATATTTTTTCCAGCCTTAATTAAGCAAAGCCCTTTTACAAAGGATTTGAAGCCTTGCACTGTCTAACCACAAGGAGGCCGAGGGCTGTCTCTCATCAGAAATGCTGACCATTACTCAAATTAGGTACCTTCCCCAAGGATCTGATCCTACAAACGCTTAAGCACATGAGCAATCCCATTAAAGTCAAATGCAGTGATCTGAGTGTGGCGATTTCCAGTGGAGCCCAAATTCTTAACTCTCCTCACTAGCACCTCTGTTGGTGAGAGGTGTGAATAGCACTCTGTGCCAAATGTGTCTGGGGAGAAGCTTTAGGACAGGGGTGGGCAAAATGCAGCCCGGGGGCCCAATGCAGCCTGCCAGGCCATTCTATCTGGCCCGCGGGGCCCCTAAAAATTTAGAAAATTAATTTTAATCTGCCCTGGGCTGCCTGTCATGTGGCCCTCAATGGCTTGCTGAAACTCAGTAAGTGGCCCTCTGCCCAAAATAATTGCCTGCCCCTGCTTTAGGATCTGACCTGGAGGTGGGAATTCTGGATTTTGTCTTTTCTGTCTCTGAAAAGTCTACGCGGAATGATTTGCGCATCTCTGTGTTATGTGGGTGGTTTTATTATTATTATTTGTGAGTTTGTTTCTTTCATAATAGATGCCCTCCTACTGTGGGTATTTTTACATTTCAGGGTTTTTGCTTCCACTGTAGTTCAATTTTCTGTTCTCTTAATCTGTCCAACTCTATTTAGGTTAAGTGGGAATTTACTTTTCAATGTTGCTGCAAAATGTCATAAAGTATCAGCATAAAATATTCACAGACCCTCATTTTAAACATTAACAGAAATTAAATACAGAATATGGGTAGATTTATTAAGGGCCTAAATATTTACCTCTCAAGGCTGATCTGCACTGGGGAATAGGAAGCTCTGCTCTAGCACCACAGGTTAGACCAATTACAGCTTTAAAAGACAGAAAATGCCTCTTAGAGTACTAAGTGACATACTCCATGTTACAAAACAGATGTGACCAGAGTTCACCCTCCTGCAGCAGCAGTGTTGACAGGACCATGGCCTTGCACTAGCCCTGGCACAAACACGTTTCCTCTAAGGCTCCACTGCTGCCTATTGACCAGATGTTAAGAGGACAGCATATGGTAGCAGAAGTTATTCATGTGACCCTTTCCCAGAGCATCCAATGAATTTTTCCAGCCTGCAGCTTATTCTGGCTCCTCTGTCTGTGTGAGATGCTGGATAGAGGATATAGACTTAAATATTTATAGTAGTTTCTACTAGGTAGGGGTTGATCCTCCTCGATTCTCAGGTGTAGCCACATTCTACTTGGCACAGGTCTTGAGGGGAAGGAGAGGAGTCTTAACACTACCTTTTCTGAATTCTTCTGGAATCAGGTTATGCAGCTCAAAGGGTGGACTTGAGTTGCTCCTAGCTGCCAGGGCCCCAAGGGTTGCTTTCTCTCAATTAATCTTTATCATGACTATCGCCCTGCAGACTCTCAGCATCAGGCATTATACAGTTGCTGCCTGTGCCAAACAGGGACTGGTGCCTAATTCATCAAGTTTGCAATACCTTTGTCTGGATGGGGCCAGCATGACAGGGCCACAGCACTACAGTGACTCTGGGCTACTATAGCCAATTGTAAAACCCTCAGTGACTTCAAGGTATAGGATCAAATCCTCAGTAAAGAGCATATCCACATATTTTAGGAATGACTCATTCCCTCTTAGCAACACATCAACAGTAAAGGGACTCTATTAAATTAAAATATAATCAGAAAAAAAATAGCTTCAGGTACTACAGCAGTCCCTGAGCTCCTTTGCCAGCTTTTGTGGCTTAACAATACATTTTTCCTATTTTTCAAAAATGTTTTCTTCTACTTTTGTTGTGTCAAATCCCCACACAAACAAGAGGAAGTCAGACTATACTGGGGAAACTAAATGGGATGAATAGACTCCCATTGGCTCTAGTGGTCTTTGAGTAAGCTCAAAGAGCTGACACATGCCAATAATAAAAACAGGAGATTTTTTCCCCCTCTAATCTCTTTTGGTTATATTTCATCTTGCTGTTACTTGTAACAATAGAACTTAAAAATAATTTTGAATGAAGTGTGATTTTTTAGAGTTGACCAAAACTCTTGAATCAGAAGCCTTTTCTCCTTTTCTTGTTCTGTTTTTGTATAGCACAGATTTCATTAGCTGTTGGCATTCATGTTTTGCCCACGTGACACAGCCCTAATGTGAAAGTTATTATTTTTCCCACTTATGCAATATTTAATGCAGTACAAATGGCAATGCCATAGCTTAGCTGCATGTGATTTGATTTCATGATTTAAAAGGTTTGCAAAGAAAAGTGCTTAGCATCTCCAAGTTTTACTGCTCAGTGAGGTTTTGATAGCAGTTCTGCAGTAAAGTCAGTAACTAGCCCAGTCTTCCCACCACAACTTCCTCAAAACAGCCCCTTTCCCCCTTAACATTTCTCATATCTAATTTTCTGCACAGTATTTCTTTTATTTAGTTAGTTCTTACAGCTTGAGGTTAGCTGGGAAGTACAAGCATTTTACTTTCTGGAAAGTCTGACTTTTTCAGAACATCATGCTTAATTGCTACCTACATTCTTCACTTTTTTTATATTTCTTTGTCCTGAATGAGGTATTAGTGCTTTCATGAAGTTTTAGAAGGCTGATTGTTCCTTTTGTAAATATTAATTTGAATTTCTGAGAGGTTTCCTGCGTCTATGGATGGCCTTAATGAAATCCTCAAGGGCCCTGACAAAGTTATTGAAGTCTGGTCTGTCCTCAAGAGATTTTCATAGGGCACATGGTTTGAAGAAGCAGAAATATCCTTCAGAAGGATGACAGCCACAAACCTTATAAGCTTCTCTGGTGCAGATGATCTGCCAAAGAGCAAGAGCCTTGGGTATGGCAGGGCTTAAAACTAAAGCCCTCCTCTCAAATAACCTCTTTTGGCCTTCAGGGTCTATGCATTCTGTAGCAACATAGGGAAAAGATGGCCTGGAATAGGTGGGCCAAGGAACACTTCTCAGCAGTGCACTCCAACAGGTGGCCCGGGGCTGATGCAGACAAGCTCTATGAATTCCAGACAGAGACAAGACTAGGACTAATTTGGAACTGAAAAGCTTCAGAGGAGTGGGATTGCAGTCAGAATGTTTCTCTTGGTTAAAGAAATGTGTCGCCTTTTTCGAGAACACACGAACTACCACTTTCTATCCTGTTCTACACTTGTTTAGCATGTGCTTGCTGGCCAAGTTGAAGCTTAAGGTTTTGTCATCTCTCTCATCATTTTACCTACATTAAAAGAAGCTTAATTTTATCTTCTCTTTTCCCCCACTCATACTTGTCTCTTGTGACAAGGGAGAACAGATCAAAGTTCTTTGCAAGCATATCCCAGGCATGGGAAAGCACACTGCTTTCAGAGACCTGGTTCAATAGGGCACCAGAGGCTAATCATCAAAGTTTTTTAATGGCAAAGATATAATTTTCATTGATATTAGTGACCATTTTTAGTCTGGAGTTCTTGCTGATCCTATTTCTGTCTACTTGAGATTTAAATGTAATTAAAAATATTTATTATATATCTCATCATGTATAAGAAAGCATGGTCCTTCCAAGGAAGTGAAGGTCAAACCATGGGAAAACATAGGATAGTTTAAAAAATGGCAACACTGTAAATCTTATCTGAGAGAAGTTGAATTATGTTGTAACTTTCTACTTCAGAGCTACTGAACAATAATGGTGGATACTAGGGCCAAATACATTGCCGCTCCCACTTTGTGCAGTAGTTGAAGATTGTTCCAGGTATTATGTTTTATCTTCATGCTCACTCATGCCAGGATCCGTGTGTGTGTGTGTGTGTGTGTGTGTGTGTGTGTGTGTGTGTGTGTGTGTGTGGCGCCTAGGTAGCATTTGTTTCAATCTCACGTGCTTGCTGGAATCAGCATTTTACTCTGCATTTTTCTGTGCCTACAGTGAATGTGTGGGGTGCCGTCTGTCTGTTTTTTTTTCTTTTTTGCCTCTTATGCTTGAGTGAGCTTTGCACTTCACAGTTGTATCACATTCATAATACAACTAAGGCAAGCACAAAGGCAGAGGCATTGGTTTAATGTAGACATGGGATGAAAAATAAGGAGAGATGAGAGAGGCATGATAAAGAAAAGAATTTCATAAGGAGATGGTGTTGTACTTGTATTGTGCTGCTGTGAGCTTTCACCCTGTCTTATTTGCCATTTTCCAACTGTAGCTACTGAAAATCAATGGCTTCTAATGGAGGAGACAGTCCTGCTCCTCTCTTCATCCAGTTGAGAAAGATACCATTGACTTCAGTCAAAACAGGAGAAGGCCTAGAGAACAGTATAAACAACAGCCCAAGGTTTTTTAGCAGTACAGTATATGGCCAAAGGAAAAGCCTGAGTCTGTTTCTGTTATCTATCCCAGCTATGTAACTGGAAGGTGCTCAGCATTTCTAAATGCAAAACATTCCTTAGGGTATTGAGTGTTCTCAATTCCCACTGAAGGCTGCGGGAGTAAAAAACACTCAGGCCCTCTTGCTTGCACTTGACACTTTATAGGATCAAGCCTTTAATAACACAAGGGCACAACAGAAAGAGCAATATG